TCTATCATGTATGCAATGTTGTGTACCAAACCTGATGTGTGCCTTGCTATAAGTCTAGCAGGGAGGTACCAAAGTAATCCAGGAGTGGATCATTGGACAGCGGTCAAGAACATCCTGAAATACCTGAAAAGGACTAAGGATATGTTTCTCGTTTATGGAGGTGACAAAGAGCTAATCGTAAATGGTTACGTCGATGCAAGCTTTGACACTGATCCGGACGATTCTAAATCGCAAACCGGATACGTGTTTGCATTAAACGGTGGAGCTGTCAGTTGGTGCAGTTCTAAACAAAGCGTCGTGGCGGGATCTACGTGTGAAGCGGAATACATAGCTGCTTCGGAAGCAGCAAATGAAGGAGTCTGGATGAAGGAGTTCATATCCAATCTAGGTGTCATACCTAGTGCATCGGGTCCAATGAAAATCTTTGTTGACAATACTGGTGCAATTGCCTTGGCAAAGGAATCCAGATTTCACAAAAGAACCAAGCACATCAAGAGACGCTTCAATTCCATCCGGGATCTAGTCCATGTGGGAGACATAGAGATTAGCAAGATACATACGGATCTGAATGTAGCAGACCCATTGACTAAGCCTCTTCCACGGGCAAAACATGATCAGCACCAAGGCTCCATGGGTGTTAGAATCATTACTGTGTAATCTAGATTATTGACTCTAGTGCAAGTGGGAGACTGAAGGAAATATGCCCTAGAGGCAATAATAAAGTTATTATTTATTTCCTTATATCATGATAAATGTTTATTATTCATGCTAGAATTGTATTAACCGGAAACATAATACATGTGTGAATACATAGACAAACAGAGTGTCACTAGTATGCCTCTACTAGACTAGCTCGTTAATCAAAGATGGTTATGTTTCCTAACCATGAACAAAGAGTTGTTGTTTGATTAACGGGATCACATCATTAGGTGAATGATCTGATTGACATGACCCATTCCATTAGCTTAGCACCCGATCGTTTAGTATGTTGCTATTGCTTTCTTCATGACTTATACATGTTCCTATGACTATGAGATTATGCAACTCCCGTTTGCCGGAGGAACACTTTGTGTGCTACCAAACGTCACAACGTAAATGGGTTATTATAAAGGTGCTCTACAGGTGTCTCCAAAGGTACATGTTGGGTTGGCGTATTTCGAGATTAGGATTTGTCACTCCGATTGTCGGAGAGGTATCTCTGGGCCCTCTCGGTAATGCACATCACATAAGCCTTGCAAGCATTGCAACTAATGAGTTAGTTGTGAGATGATGTATTACAGAACGAGTAAAGAGACTTGCCGGTAACGAGATTGAACTAGGTATTGAGATATCGACGATCGAATCTCGGGCAAGTAACATACCGATGACAAAGGGAACAACGTATGTTGTTATGTGGTCTGACTGATAAAAGATCTTAGTAGAATATGTAGGAGCCAATATGAGCATCCAGGTTCCGCTATTGGTTATTGACCGGAGACGTGTCTCGGTCATGTCTACATTGTTCTCGAACCCGTAGGGTCCGCACGCTTAAGATTTCGATGACAGTTATATTATGAGTTTATGAGTTTTGATGTACCGAAGTTTGTTCGGAGTCCCGGATGTGATCACGGACATGACGAGGAGTCTCTAAATGGTCGAGACATAAAGATTGATATATTGGAAGCCTATATTTGGATATCGGAAGTGTTCCGGGTGAAATCGGGATTTTACCGGAGTACCGGGAGGTTACCGGAACCCCCCGGGAGGTATATGGGCCTTAGTGGGCTTTAGTGGAAGAGAGGAGAGGTGGCCATAGCTGGGCCATGCGCCCCTCCCCCTAGTCCGAATAGGACAAGGAGAGGGGGCCGGCGCCCCCCTTCCTTCTCTCTCTCCTCTTTTCCCCAACTAGGAAAGGGGGGAAATCCTACTCCCGGAGGGAGTAGGACTCCTCCTGGCGCGCCCTATCCTGGCCGGCCGCACCCCCCCTTGATCCTTTATATACGGAGGCACAGGACACCCCTAGACACACAAGTTGATCCACGTGATCATATTCTTAGCCGTGTGCGGTGCCCCCTTCCACCATAGTCCTCGATAATATTGCAACGGTGCTTAGGCGAAGCCCTGCGACGGTAGTACATCAAGATCGTCACCACGCCGTCGTGCTGACGGAACTCTTCCCCGACACTTTGCTGGATCGGAGTCCGGGGATCGTCATCGAGCTGAACGTGTGCTAGAACTCGGAGGTGCCGTAGTTTCGGTGCTTGATCGGTCGGGCCGTGAAGACGTACGACTCCATGTTGGGCTAACGCTTCCGTTGTCGATCTACAAGGGTACGTAGATCACACTCTCCCCTCTCGTTGCTATGCATCACCATGATCTTGCATGTGCGTAGGAATTTTTTTGTAAATTACTACGAAACCCAACATCACACACCAGAAGGTGGTCTTGTTTATTCGAGACAGGAAGATGGAAATAACGTAGAATGTTTTGAACGACCGGAAGGGCAGTGTGCCCTAGGCGCTTGTGCCACCGAGAGGTGGAAGGCTTGATGGCAGCAAGAACTTGGCGTGGAGGTGCACTTTGCCGTCCAGTCACGGGGAACAAGCCCCATCTACTCTTGTTTTGCAGAATTGTTCTCCGGGTAGCCTGATCCTTAACAAGAAAGAATTCAGGATGAAGCTCAATGAATACATCATTATCTCGCATAAGATTATAGGCAGAAAGAAGGCTTTGGTCGGCACTAGGGGCATGAAGGATGTTGTTGGGATGTAAGGAACCAGAGGGAGTAGATAATACTGAATGACCAATATGCGCTATGTCCATACCTTGCCCACTTGCCGTGTGAATTTGGTCGGTGCCAGTGTAGCGATCACGGACGACTAGCTTCTCCAACTCGCCGGTGACGTGATCTGTGGCGCCGGTGTCGAGATACCAATTGGTATCCACGCCGTAGGAGTGGGCAGAGTTGGCGGAGCGTGGGTTGGCACCACTACGGCCGCCACCACCGCGCCCACCACCGCCGCGTCCGCCACCACCGCTGCCTGCAGGGTTACGTACATTGTTGTTGAAGCCTTTATCGAACCTCTTCTTGCAGCGCCACGCACCGTGGCCTTCCTCCTTGCCGATTTGACAGCGTTCGGGGTCACCACGGTCACCGCGGTCACCGTTCTGCCGACGCGATGCACCACCGCCACCACCATTGCCTGAGTTGTCGGAGTAGTTGCCCCCGCAGTAGCCACCGCGTCCACCACCCTGACCACCGCGTCCGCCGCCGTAGCCGCCACGACCACCCTTCGCAGCGAGGTTGGCAGAGTGATGAGCGGGGAAGGCGGCGTGCTGGGCAGTGATCCGGGCCTCCGCAGAGAGCAGCAGCGAGAAGAGCTCGCTGAGACCGATTGGCCGATCGGTGGCAGCGCGCGTGGAGATGGAGGTGACGAACCCGTTGTAGTCGGGCTCGTGCATGAGGGCCTCGAGGATGTGCGAGACGATATCATCCTCCTCGAGGGGCTTTCCTGCAGCAGCAAGTTCATCTGCTAACCCCTTCATCTTCGTGAAGTAAGCAGATGCGGAGAGATCGCCCTTGCGGGCGTTGCCGATCGCCGAGCGAAGCTGAATTTGACGTGCTCGGGACTGCACGGAGAAGCTCTCGACCAGGGCTTGCCAGACGCCCGCGGCCGTGGTGTGATTGGACACCTGCATCAGAACTTCACGGGATAGAGATGCGAGCAAAAAAGTTAGGACCCGTTGATCTTGAGTAACCCAGATTGCATGCTCTGGATTGGGCAGCTCGGTGATCTTCTTCTTCCCATTGGTCTCCTTCTCGGTGACGATGACAGCAGCGGGTTCCTTGATCGAGCCGTCAAGGTAGCCCATCATCGCCGCAGCCCTGACGTGCGGAAGAACTTGGACCTTCCACACCAGGAAGTTGTCACGGGTGAGTTTCTCCGTGATGGTGTGACCGAGGGAGGCGAGCGAGGGCATGGCCATGGCGTGGGAGGAGGAAGAAGATGACATGATCTAGATGTGTGGAAGAACTAGGCTCTGTATACCATGTAAAACGAGAGGCTGGAAGCGCATGCCGGGGCAGGGGCGCATTGCGTGTTTATATAGGCCAAACATGTGGCTAAGATTACAAAGGAGGTTAGGGGTAGGTTAGGTGTGGATTGATCTCCAAGCTAAGCTAACTACCAAGATCTAATCACAACAACCTAACCTATCCTAACTACAACACGCACGCCACATATCTAGCCGGCACGGTTTACAACATACCGTGGCAAGTCATACAATGATGTTTAACAAAAATGTAATCAAAACGATATTGTGTTTTCCCTTATTTATTTAAATACTTGCTCTGATCTAAATTTTGAACTAAAACCACAACACTTATTTCTGATCGGAGGGAGTAGCAATTTTGCCTTCCTACCTAAGGTTATGTACAACTCTAGTTATTTGGTTTGGAATGGTTTCTTTGCCGAGTTTCATTTGAAGACAGGGCAGGTCAGGCACATATTTCCCCCTAAATTCATTAGTAAGCATGCATCTATTGGAATACCTAGTCTAGGAGAACTGAAGAGTTAACAGCCGAAATAATTTGGTTGATTAACGAAGGAACAGCTTGTAGTGCACTATATATTTTTTCTAAGACGCGGATCAGTTAGGATCGGCCTTTTTCCCCTTTCCTCTAAAAATCTAATTTGGGTCCTAACTAACTGGATTGTATATAGCTTAGAGGACAAACAGTGGCAGTGCAATTGTGCATATCAATCTCAGATAAATGAATGAATGGAAAATGTGATTCAAATCAAAGAGCACAATTGTACAGTTCGCGTTACCATGCTAAACTTCTAGGGTTCAAAGAGCGAGTAGAAGCAGAGCACCACTTACAAGATGACCTTCCCATGGTTCGAAGCCACAGAGTATCACTTGGTTTTGTTTTTAATCAAAGCCACGGATTGATTGATTAACCACACATACATTTTGCTTCCCAGTGTCCATCCTACCACAAATGAAAAAGATGAGCACTATCGTCTACAATGACTGACAAGATGTTTTTCGAAGTGACACCAGATCCGACCAGTGCTGCACAAGGAGAGACAGTCGACAAGATTATGCGGCTGCAGCGCCGAGTGGGAGCTCAGGCTATCGCTGCTAATGGCGCTTCTGTCTGCAAGACGGTAGCCCTCAGTTCGGTTCCTCTCTGCAATGTCGAAGCTCAGGTAGACGGTGTCGCCTCTAATGGCGCCAGAAGGGAAGGCCTTGATAGGCACCGAGAGAGAGCAGTACATGCCGATGAACAAGGCATGTCCCCCGCCGCCGAAGCTGTTGGCTCGGCACAAAGTCCCGGCGCCCAGATCCAGTCGATACACGTCGTACCTCCTCTTGGCCGCGTTATTGTTGTCATGGTGTCGCGAGAACCTACGGTGCACCAGCGTCAGCTCTCCGGCACTGTCCATCAGGTGCAGAGTGTCTGCCATCGGGGAAACCGGCATAGGCAGCTTGGCAGCCAGCTCCAGGCGTGGCGGCTGATCCTCCAGCACCATGACGCCGTCAATGGTGGCACAGTAGAACCGTCCTGCGATCATCGAGGAAGCCGTTCGCAGCAGATTGTGGAAGTTCAACACCGTCCAGTGGTCATCGCCGGGCTTTGCCATGCCGAGCATGTTGAGCCTGTTGAAGGAGAGCACCACCGTGGAATCATCGCTGAGAACGCCGGAGCCCCAGGCCGGAAAGTGGGTGTCGAAAGCGGCGGTGAAAAGGAGGCCGTCGTTCCCCTGATGGGACACCAGCGCGGTGAGCGGCGGGAGCTGGGTGAGATGGCGCGTCAGCGGGTTGAGCAGGTGCACCTTGGTGCTCCGCGGCCAGTCGAGCACGACGAGCAGGCCCTCGGCGGTGAGGGCGAGCACCTCCTGGTTGTGGAGCTCCGGGAGGTGCACCTGGATGCACTCGCCGGTGGAGGAGTTGAGGAAGCGGCGGCGGTTGGGGGCGTCGATTCGCTCCCGGGGTTCCCGGAGCATGAGCCACCGCCGGGGGTGGAACCGGCGGTCGAGGCCGCCGTGCGCGCGCGGGTCCGCGCAGCACCGCCGCCACGGGCCGCACGCGGCGCGGAAGCGGAGGTAGTCGGCGACGTCGTGGGCGAGGACGCGGTCGGCGATCGTCCCCGCCAGCCCGTCCCCGAGACCAGCCCAGTCCCTCAGCCTATTTTCAGAGGGAGGCATGGAGACGGCGCGGCTCGTGGGTGCTCGCTTTGCTTCGACCCCAAATTAGCGCGCCGGGAGGGAAGAAGATCCGACCGCGCACCGCCGCCGCCGTCGTCGCCGGAAGAGGTGCGGGGAGGGAGGGCGGCTGGTCCAGATCCGACAGCCGCCGTGGCCGTGGCCGCGGTGAGCAGCACCCCGGCGGCGTGCGAGGAAAGAAGAAAAAGAGGAACGCCCAGTGCGGCAGCGTGTGGCCACTGGCCAGCGACTGGAGTAAAGAGTACTGTATGAAGGTCCTACATGAAGAGTCAGCCTTTAAGATTTGGAAGATTGATATACAGACGGTTGAAAAGACATACAAATCATCAGGAGGGCATATGCTCTAGTTTAGGGCCTCTTTGATTCGGAAGATTTTCAAAACACAGGGATAGAAGAAAAAATATAAGGGAAGATCCGCCGCCTTGCGAGCCGTCTGATTTGACACAACTCTAGCACCGAGTGCCCGAGTCTTTCTTCACTTTTGCAACATACATTGTGTTGCAGTTTTTTTTTTGCAACAAAGGTCGTACTGCAGAAAATATTTGAAAAAAAGGGTGTGTTGTAAATTTTATTTTGCAACACAAGTTATGTAGCAGGTGTTTTTCTGCAACAGAGCTTATGTTTCCGAAAAACTGCATCGTCGAGTTGCCACCGCAACATCCCTATATTTTGGAAACATGAATGATGTTGCAAAATCTTGAGTTACAGTGCGTGGGATTAGACTGACACTTGGTTGGCTCTTGATGCAGCGGACATGGAGTGTAGAATCGGCCGGATGAATGTAATCCTTTTCCAAAAAAAGAAGAAGTAGAGATTAAAGTTGCATGCCATTTTCTTCCCTTTTAACGGGAGAACCTTCTAATATATTCATCAACTGTTAAGATAATACAAAGAACATCATACATAAAAATTACATTCAGATCCATTGTCGGAGTAGTGGGCCACGGGTAGGCTAACCCGAGGCCCAAAACTTTTCAAGACATCGGGGCTGACTACGCCCCTTGAGACGCTAGATGAAAAGCCGCCTTCTGGAGGACGGCTGAAGGAACAGTCGGCTGCCCGCATGCAGCCGAGTCCTAGAGGCGAGGTCAAGACCGGCCGACTCCCGCCTGGCGGCTTCCAGAGAAGCCGGCCACGGGGAGTCAGACCACGGCACCAACAAGGCCCATGCCCTCATCAGGGGGGGTGGGACGGGGAGTGGCAACAGTGAAGCCCACTCCCTCCCCTTTTTCAGGAGATGGCTAGGCCACAATGCGCTGTACCAACGGAGATCTCCGTCTGGCGCGGCACTGTTGCCATGCCATCCCTGAGATCAGCAACAGTGGGCGGAGTCCTGTGCCCACAATGGCCTGTCAGTACGGTCCATGGACGACGGGCCCTACCGGTCAGCGAGAGTCCAGAAGACGGCAAGAGCGCCACCAGACGGACCTGTAGGGAGACGGTCACCGGGAGTCGGCCTGCCCCTCCCACGGGTTCCCCGCACCATTAACCAGACGAGACAGGGAGTGGCTACAGTGATCACCCGCCAGACGGCGGGGCTGTAGCCACGACCCCATGACCAAGCCTGCGTCATTAGAAGCACGGCTACAGTAGTCAGCAGCCGGCAAGACCCGCAAGCGGCGGGTACGGCCTGTCGACTCCGTACCAGACTAGTCGGCAGAAGGGCCGGCAGGCGAAGAGACTGAAGGCTGGGCTCTGCGCCTAGTCAGTTTACCGTTATACCCCTGGGGTAGGCCTATATAAACCCTCGAGGGCACCCATGCAAAGGGTTCCGACCCATTAGAACTAGACCATATCATAGAAGGAGGAGAGAGCTAGCCCTGCCTTCTCCTACCTTCAGCATACAGCTCGAGGAGCGCCCTTGTATTTACTTTGCCTTAGTGATCATGGGGAGACCCCGCAGAGCAGAACTAGGGGTGTTATCTTCTAGGAGAGCCCCGAACCTGGGTAACGTACGCCGGTGTTCGTGTCTACGCCTTATCCCGCTTCCGGGCACCAGCGACGTTCTACTCGCCCGCACCATGATAAGCCATCCATTGGCATATGTCGCACCCAAGCCCCGACATCCGTAGACCACCTAGCAACGACTACAAGCACTGGAGCGAGCCGAAGATGAGCCGAACACAGATGAACGAAGATCGGATCCACGAAAACAAAACGTCGGCCGAATCCTACAAGATCCGCCAGAGACAAATCTTCACACGTCCCCAATGACACTGGAAGCACCGCCTTGACAGAGACTGATCCGAGAGAACCATATTCTATCGTCAGATAGCCGCCGTCGCGTCACCTCTTTGGGAAGGACACAAACCCTAACAAACTAAAAAAAGCCCTCCCACCGGCAAGGGTCAGGATCCACCGCATCTCCAGGCCCTAAGGTGAGACGAGGTAGATCTGCGGCAGCGGCGCTGGCAGGAGGCACAAGAAACCTTGTCCATCGGGTGTCCTCCTTAGGAACGTAGGGGTACGAGCAGGAGTTCCCGACGTATTCAGCTATCCACACATGCCATTTTATTGTATCGTGAGGATGTTTAACTATGCATAATGCACTGGAGAAATACATGGTTGTTCATAGAGGTTGGATGGATGAAAAACTATCAATGAAATCTAGTGCAAATGAATGTAATGAAAAATTCATATGGTTGTTGTCTTACGAATCAAACAACCCATGTAAAAAAAATCCGTAAGGATCAAAATCCTTTCAAATTTCTTAGCAAATTCTTTCAATCAAAGAATCCTTTAATAGTACTTTCTTCGTTCCAAAATAAGTGCTTAGTATTTAATCAGTGACCATAATTGCGACACGGTGTCGGAAACCAGCATTTTCATATGAACAACCCTCACGAACCAACTCGATCACAGGCGTCCGTTTATGACCGAGCTGCGACCCTAGCCGTGCGATTGCCCATCTGCTTCGCAAAGGGCACTCCAAAACCTTAACCCCCGACCACTCTTCTACCTTTCCTCCCCTCCCGCCGCCGCCGCCGCCGCCCGTACGAGCGAGCATGCCCAGCGCGTTCCACTCCCTCCGCCCCTCGCTCATCAAGCGGAAGCACAAATCCACGCGCCGCGGCGGGAAGCGCCCCAAGAAGACCGGCGAGTCGACGAGCCCCGCCGCCGGAGGCGAAGACGCCTCCTTTGACCTGAAGGGCTCCGCCTCCGCGTCCACCGCGGCTGGGCGCGGCGGAGGAGGCAGCCTCGTCCAGCCGCTCGGGAACCTCCTCCTCGCGGCCGCCGGGCGCACCAACCTCCGGGACGCGAGCCTCGGCGGGCTTCGCCAGCTCCCCGACGACCTCCTCCTCGACGTCCTCGGCCTCCTGCCCGCCCGCGACCTCGCCGCGCTCTCCGCGGCCTCCAAGGCGCTCTACGTCATCTCCTCCCACGATCCGCTCTGGCGGGCCATCGTCCTGGACGAGCTCGGCGGCGACTTCACGTTCGCCGGCTCCTGGCGCGCCACCTACATCGCCGCCGTGTCTGGCCGCCCCCATCGCCCCCCGCGGGCCCTTGAGATCAGCGGCTTCTACTCGGACTACCTCTTCCAGAGCTGGCTGTGCGCCAACATGGAGATGCGGGCCGAGTGGCTCGAGCGAGACACCATTGACCGCCGCCGCGGCTTATCGGTGGAGAAATTCATCGCAGAGCACGAGGAGCCGAACTGGCCGGTGCTGCTTGAGGGGTGCCTTGATTCCTGGCCGGCGCTGCAGAAATGGACGAGGGAGTATCTGCTGGAAGTCTCAGCCGGCAAGGAGTTCGCCGTCGGTCCGGTGAGCATGCCACTGGACAGGTACTTCCAGTACACCGACAATGCGGAGGAGGAGAGGCCATTGTACCTCTTCGACGCGAAATTCGCCGACAAGGTTCCGGAGATGGGGAGGGACTATGAGGTGCCGGCGTACTTCCAGGAGGACCTGTTCAAGGTGCTCGGGGAGGAGAGGCCGGATTACAGGTGGGTCATCATCGGTCCGGCTGGATCAGGGTCATCGTTCCATGTAGATCCTAACTCGACATCGGCGTGGAATGCTGTGATCAAAGGGGCCAAGAAGTGGGTGATGTTCCCGCCGGAGGTGCCGCCACCAGGGGTGCACCCAAGTTCGGATGGGGCAGAGGTCACTAGCCCTGTGTCTATCATGGAGTGGTTCATGAACTTCTACGGAGCCTGTAGGACCTGGGAGAAGAGGCCGATTGAGTGTGTGTGCCGGGCTGGGGAGATTGTGTTTGTGCCTAATGGGTGGTGGCACCTGGTTATCAATCTTGAGGAGTCCATTGCCATCACTCAGAACTATGTGAGCAGGTTAGATTTCAGATTCCATACAGTTTCTCTGTTTTTCCACTTCATATATGTGTTAGTACCTATTATGCTTACTAAGCAACCATCAGGAAGCATAAATACAGGAGCTTCTACAATATGTATCATTTATCTAGGGCGAACGACTGTACTATTTTGTACCTTTTGTATGGACACATTCCCAAAACTATTATCTCCATGCCACTTGAACAATTAAGCGTACACAGCCTGAATTGCAAGAATTTCCAATAAAAAAATCAATTCAAAACCAAGGTTCTGAGCTTCTAACTCTATATTTGTTGCTTAAATAAAGTATGTATACTACATTTTGTTGACAGAAATTTGGGTAGTATTCCTCAAATTAGTTCTATGCATATCACTTCAGCACTGTGAGATAGAGGTGGTCTTGCCATTGTGTCAGTTACGAATTATGATCAAGTATAAAAAAATACTTGGTCTTCCAAAAGAGTATCTTTGGTTTAAGAACCATGTTTCCTAGTTTATACTCCCTCTGTTTCGAATTATAAGATGTTTTGGATATTTCAATATGGACTAGATACGGACTAAAATGAGTGAATCTACACACTGAAAAATGTCTAGATACATTCAATTTAGAAGAAAGCTAAAACATCTTATACTTCGGAACGGAGGGAGTACATGACACCTTCTTCATGATCACATAATTTTGATTAAAATA